TGAAAGTAACCTCATGGCACTTTAAAATAACTTTGTGGATGAGTGTGGTCATCCACCGGAATGTTAGAATGGGCGCACTTTTTATGTTTGATCATTAGAATCAATCTCCTTATAGGAAGCGAAGGTCCAGGCGGTGCATGGACCTTACACAGGGTTTTTCAGCACCTCAGTGGCAGGGCTGGGGCTTAGACCCCACATCACCAGTCTAAGTTCAGAGTGCTTTTGCAATACGAGGATCCATTCAGGAATGTAAGTGCCGAAGAATATTTAATTCCCCAGCCTTGTTTCATAGTGAATCATAGATTATAAATATAATTTCTTCCAAATAAAATTTGGGCAAGTGATTGTTTCCTGTGACAAGGGGACGTTTAAATGGAAGTAAATAAGTTTTGATTCTATATCCCAACAGGAACCTCTCCTATCCCTGATTTGGCTCTCATTTTTTAATTTATTTTTATTTATTTTTATTTTTTAAAAGAATTTATTTATTTGACAGAGAGAGACACAGCGAGAGGGGGAACACAAGCAGGGGGAGTGGGAGAGGGAGCCTGTTGCAGAGCTCAATCCCAGGACCCTAGGAACATGACCTGAGCTGAAGGCAGACGCTTAATGACTGAGCCACCCAGGCGCCCCCTCTCATTTTTTTATTAACCTCTTGCCATAGACTGTTGGCTTTTGTTGCCATGTTGCCATAAATTGGCTATTACAGATAACAATATCTGGTAAGTAGGACTTACACAATTTCTCTTATACAGATACATTGGAGGAGAAAGATTTGCAGAAACACAAATTGTGACTAAGTCCTTAAATTGCACTGGTCAAATGACTTATGCAAAAGGCGTAAGAGAGGAGAAAAACAGGAAAATACTCTTTTCTATATTTGGGAATAGTTCTTACCTACACTTACTCTTTCCTAATGGTGAAAGCAAGCAGTTTGAGATTCAGCCCCTGGGTATCCCTACATTTCTCATGACAGTTCCAAGTTTCAGAACACCCCCAAGGGTTCTGTGATTACCTGGAGTATAAGTCTCAGGGACCAGGGTGTGTTTCATCCTTTCAGTGGTCAGATCGGCTAGTCTGTGATGAACCTGAATATATTCCAGTTATAGATGTTGGTAAAAAACCTAGGGTCCAAGTGATGAGTTTTCTATTTCAAAGTTATTTTATAGGAAATGAAGCATCTGTTTGAATTCAGAAGAAATCAATTGTTTTACTTTATCAGGCAAATTGTATTCATTTTGCCATTCAGGTTTTGTAGAAAGATGGCTGTCTCCTCTTTCAGACATGATAGTGTAGATATGTACATTTTTCATTCATTCATTCATTCATTGAATATCTATAGAGTATGTTAAGTTTATTTCAAGATCAAGATACCTTGTGGTTAGAAAGGGACAATCTACTTTTTTTGTTTCATTTCAAATATCCTAATAGTTTTTGTTACATAAGAAATGCATGGGACATAGGAGACCCCACAGAGTTCTCCTGAGGGCAGTTTTTTTGACTGGCATGAAAGTGTCAGGTTCCAACTTCTGAGGCTCTTCTACTGGTCATTGTAAATAGGCATTACATTAGCATTCCAGCATAACACAAGTTTCTTCCCTCTGTGTTTATGGAATTATAATAAGGAAGGAGCACAGACATTTCTGCCTTTACCCGACCATGTTCACTTTGGTGGAAAATGAGGAATGAATATTATTCTCATTAACCTGGTACAGAGCTGGCTTCATTCATATATACAAAAATGTGTGGTAGCAAAGGGTCCTGTGTTTTGTTTAATGCTCTGCTATCACCATTTTGAAACAATAATCTATGACCAAGAGACCCTGCATTTTCATTTTGCAATGGGTCACAAAAATGATTTTGCTGGTCCTGCCTACATAGCACATGTTCTTCTTGGCTACATTGATCTGCCCTCAGCCTCCAATCCTACTCTGTCAACATGTCCATTCTCTTGTCAAGTCAAAGAAGCAAATGAGAAACTGTTGTTGCTGTTAACTGAATGCTTTTTAAATTAATTTCAAAATGCTCGTTCCTATGGCAGGTTTATGACACTGATTTTTAACAAAGCTCTGCAAAGTATCCAGGTAGATTTCCAATCATGCAATCCTTAGCTTTGGTGGGTTTGTTGTTGTTTGTGTTCTAGGCAAATTAAAAGCTAGTAGTATTGGTTTTAGGCTTTTAATTTTTTTTTAAAGACACCTGAGTACACTACTTGACTTACGGTTCCATAAAGTAAAATTTAAAAAAAGTTTGAACTGAAATGCATTTTCCCATTCTTATCTTGGATAGTAAGCAGCTCTTTGTCTACATCTGGGAATTCCAGCTTTATGATGCATAAGTTGAGGCATTAGATTTGGAAGCACACTCTGTTGTTATTAAGTAAAATATTTCCCCTGAACTGTATAGAATTAAAAATGCTGGCATTTAAAAGCTTAGCCATCAGCACCTACAGTGCTATTAATGACTGGGAATACAGTTTCTGCTTCTTTAGTACCACCCAGTATGCTCAATCTTCCTGCTATTCCAGGGGTCTCCTTTGTGCCTCTGAGGTTTACTCATTTAGGCATTCTCCATTTCTCTTAAGTCCTTTGAGAAGCACTGAGTGTTTGTTCACTGGCTTTTTAGAGCTGGTACCAAAACTTTTCTCTTTACATATATTGAAAAAAAAAAAAATTCAAAGGGCTATGTTTCTTTGTTCTCATCCAAGCCCACAATTAGCCCCAGTTCCATTCTGTGTAGCTGGAAGGAGGAGGAAAGGGGTGGCTCCACGCATTTTACTGCCTATGAGAAAGTGCTCAGCCGGTTTCTTTGTCCTTTTCGTCAGGGCCGGCTGCTTCCCTAATTGTACCGCTGTAGGGAAGCACGTGCCTCTGGGAGCATTATCTGATTCCTACAGGACGTTCAGGAGTGCTTTGCATGCTGACCCTTAACTTGAACACAAATAATATCTTTTCAATCCCATTCCTAGGCCGCTGCTGCAGGCTTGCATACCTGAGGACTTGAATTCAGCCGGGGGCGGGGTGTGGACGCCTGGTGGGGCCTCAGGTTTTATTCTCTGCCCCCACCCCCCAGTTGTCTCACCTGAAGGTTTGCCTCACCTGTCAAGAGGGGAAGCTGAAGCTGGAGGACAGGAGAGGAATAGGAGCTGCAGAAGTCAGAGGGGAAAGAAGGCAAGACAAACAGCTGCTCTTGTCAGCATGGGGAGAAGTGTAAAGAGATTAATATTTGAAGAGCAAATGGGGACGTGGCATCCGGCCGTGGAATGCGAATATATAAATGTACTGGAATGAACATGCGGCCTTTAACATTTAGACAGATGCTCTCTGGACTGAATGGAATGGTGGAGTTCGTACTTTCTCCTCCCTGTGTGAAATACCTAAAGTTTAGTTAAATAATTTGCTTTAATTATGATTTTCATCCAGCTTCTATTTCTTTGTGAGTCTGTTCTTCTCCATAGTTTTACTTGGTTGGGGACTCTCAGAGTTATCCTGCAACTGAAGAGCCAGACTCCTCATTTCCTTTATAAAACAGGTACCAACGAGACTGCTTTTCTCTTCTTGCTTTTGCTTTATTTTCCACTTCGCTAACTTGAAGAAACAATGAGATCAATATGTGTCAGAAGTTTTCACACAGGAAAAACTGTACCATACAGTGGTTGTCCCTTCTGGAAATGTGTCTAGTTTGACTCCAGTTTAGGGAGGACTTGAATTATCTCATCAGGCTGACAGGTGTGATGGTGCTGGGCAGGGCCCTGGACTCAGAGTGAGAAGATTTGGTTTCAAAATTCCCACTCTTTGCTTATTAGCTGATGCTTGAGCAAATCACCCCCCGCTCTCTGAGAGTAATACATTTTTTTTTTTTTTTTTTGCAGATTAAGTGACAAGTCAATTCATTCTTTCCATACACATCATATCAAGTGCCTACTCTGTGCCCATTTGCACAGAACACCTAAGAGCATCAGGCAGAGGAGTACATGAGCTAACATACTTCTGAATTATATCAAATACAGAATGTAAATCCTAACTAGATGGTGTTCCTCTTACACATGTTCTACTCTGGCAAAGAAGAAACTGCTACAAAGAAAAGGAAAGAACAGATGAAAAATTAGGCTGTGTTTGGATGATATACTAGCATGTTATCTTTAAAAATATCTAGGTGGCTCTCCCTAACCTTGCTACCCATGCTTCTCCAGTCTTGATGAACTGAGTCCTTGGGGGCAGGGCGCAGGTGGAGCATTCTTCATATCCTGGGACAGAATTTAGATAATAAGACTACAAGGAAATTTGGAGGACCTCTGATTTTGCTCCATATACAACAACTTGAGGCTTAAATCCCCTTTAGAACATATCTATCCAGTGGTCTTTCTCATTCTGAATACTATGGCAGGAGGGGGGAAAAAAATAGCAGGTGGTATTCATTTATTTTAAAGACCTTCCATACAGCTACTGAGCACTGGACATTTTCACCCAGTTTGTTAATAAGCACACATTATATATATATAATATATATATATAACATATATTATATATATATAATATATATTATATACATATATAACTATATATATAATATATATATATAACAACTATATATAATATAGTTGATGCACAATGTTACATTAGTTTCAGGTGTACAGTGTAGTAATTCCAAGCCCCTACCCTATGCTATACTTACCACGTAGGCAGCTACTGTCTGTCACCAGGCGATACTACAATATCATTGTATATATTCTATTTTCAGGTGCTCTTCAGGAGACCACAGCCTCCAAAGGCTGCACATGAAGCTGTGTGATCTGTGCAGGTCATTACAAAACACGTGCAGGCCTCAGACTTCCCTTGGTGTTTCTGTGTATCACAAATTAGTCCTTCTACCGAGTATTGTCAGGTTTCATAGATTCAAGGTCATTTTCTGTAGAATGCATGCACCAAATGATGATGCCTTTTCAAAGCAATGATCTGCCGCTGACACAGCTAACCCTGGGGTTTCTGGGTGTCCTGCAGCCACAGTACACGAACCTGGGGCTCCTGAACAGCATGGACCAGCAGATTCAGAACGGCTCCTCGTCCACCAGCCCCTACAACACAGACCATGCGCAGAACAGCGTCACGGCGCCATCGCCCTACGCGCAGCCCAGCTCCACCTTCGACGCCCTCTCTCCGTCCCCCGCCATCCCCTCCAACACCGACTACCCGGGCCCGCACAGCTTCGACGTGTCCTTCCAGCAGTCCAGCACCGCCAAGTCGGCCACCTGGACGGTAAGAGCCCCGGGCCCCTGTGCGCCCTTCAACCTGACCCCTGCATCTGAGGGGGGTCTTCACTGCCCCTCCTGGGGACTTCTCCTCTGTCAGAGCTTACAGATCCATTTCGAATGGTGGACGGTTTCTCACTGTCCTCCAAGGACATTTTGCTTTTGAATATATAACCCTGAACCAGAGAGAGAAGAAGTGCCATTGAGTGGGAAAAGCCCCGATCCTGGAAACAAAGTCCTATGTTCTGGCAATTTCAGGAGATCCATTCTCACCTGCTTCTTGCTGTTGTTGGGGAGGGGGGTCCTTCCTGTAAAGGTTTTTGGAAAACTATAAAGCATTATGCCAACAAAAATTATCATAGGCATAGGATACGCGTTTGCATTTCCAAGAATGTAGGATAGTTACCATCTCATTATTTTGAAGAAGTAAATGTCATATTAATATGTGGTTAAAAAAATTGCAAACATGGAGTAATAAATTAAAATCTCATTTATTATGGAATGGCTAAATTCATTCATTTATTTATTTATT